TGACTTAGATTTCGTAAAAATATACATTAAATTCCAATTTACATTTTAACTATTGCAGCGAAAAAATACAATAAGTTGCCTTAAGGCTACAATTACCTATAATTCACGAGGTACTTAGAGGTGGGTGTTGTGAGGAAAGAACATTATATAATTGCTTTTGCCTGTGCGAAAACAATTCCATGATATATACTCGTACATGCAATTTGTCAGAGTACTTGACTGAAATACTTAAAATAAATTACTCGAAACAAATTTAGAGCAAACTATCATGCAAGACAACCAAAGAACTATCCATATAAGAGCTTGTATTAGAAGCTTATTTCTATGGCAAAGCCATTGTGATTTCTGATTTTTAATATGCCAACTAGATGATATTTTGCTTCGCACTTCTCCAAAATACATATTTCATTAAAATAAAGTTTTGAATGCTTAAGATGAGCTTGTATGAGTGACATAGATATGAAAATAAATTATATATATTACATATTCCTTTCACATACGCACCTGTTTCTTTTTCACATTTCCCACAAAATTACTCAAAATATTTGTGTGCAATTTACACTATGAGTATTTTAATTATGATCAGCACTGGTGCGTGTGTGTGCTGGTTGTCTGTGCGGCAAACAACAAATAAATCGCAACGCCGGCAGACAGTCAAGCAGCTGGGCAATAATTCATCTTCAGGTGAATGCCACTCGGTGCTGGCTTTCAGTGGCTGCTGCTGCTGCTGCTGCTGCGGATTTGGTGCGAGAGTTTCACTTGTCATAAAAATGCACATAATGTAACAATTTCAAAATGCAAAATATGCGCGTATGCGTGGAATGATTATCACTGCGCTGTCAAAGAGACGAGAACATTAACAACGGCCAGAGCGAGGCTGTCTTCTGGCTGGGATTAAAAAGCTGCTGCTGCTGGTGCAATGTTGGGTAATTATGCGCACAATACGTCCAAGGCAGCGGTAGGTTTCTCCACGGCAACATGTTGCCATTGCATTGTTGTTGTTGCTTTTGTTTTGCTGCTTTTGTTGTTGTTGTTGTAGCTGTTGCGTAAGCCATTGAAAATTGCATTAGAAAAATCACTTTACAGCGGCGGCTACAATTAAAGCGACTAGCATGTTTTTCGCTCTAAGCCGCCTGGGAACCACAAAAGCCGCACTTGGAGCAGCTCGCAAGTCAAGTCATTTCGAGTTGGGGTTGCCTTCATTTAAAGCCGCACATTCGCCGGCTTTGACGTTCTAAAAGTCACGCGGCTTTTCGATTGCAGCCGGCTCAGCACTGTGCGATGTCATGCGTCAATTGATGCCAAAGGGCAACAGATAAAAGCGAATATATGTATGAGTAAATGTATGTATGAATATTGGTAATTTTTCTCTTTTTGTTTCTTGGCATATTGTCGGAGAAATATTAACTATTGAGCAAGTTTCCATTGAGGCCTTAGCAATAACAGTAATATTAGAAAGACGGATAGATGACAGCGCATCCAAGCCGTCTCACATCTGCGGCTATCAACAATAGGCTTAGAGTTAGATGCTTGACAGAGTCTAAGCCTAAGCCTAATGAGCTGATGCTTGAATTAATTAAACCCAAATACAAATATTGAAAGTGCATATCTCTTGTATTTGTTATTCAGCTATTTGCATTACCTAACACGTATACTATACAAAAATTTCTTATAGAATTTGTGAATCTTAGAATTATTTATAAATCGTGTTTTTTAATAAACGATATTACGCAATGAATGTATTAAATTCGAAATATTTCAAGACTTATATCGAATAAATTACTATCCATTCGTTCAGGTCTTGGGGACAGTAAAACTGGGGATTGATGCTGCTGGATTTATTTTTTGCGCCTTTTCAGTTAATTCTAGTATAATTCAAGAGGTCACCGATGCATTCAATCAGCCCATATAAATCCTTAACGATCTAAACCTGGATTTAAAGCTATATTTTTTCGTTTCTGAAAACCCAAATATATTCAGAACGCTTTGAATGATATCAGGTTTTAAATTTATAGCTCTAAATGACTATTGATAAGATCCAAGTATATAGTCAGACTATAGCGACAGAGACTTATAACTTCATCCATTACCAACGTGCATGGATTAACGGAGAATATATAACGTGAAATACAGCTTCATAAATTAAAAAAATATTTGTAGCTTAATTCGCATATTGATTTAGCACGGACTCAATAGCTTTTCGCTGCTCTTTTTGGACTCTCTCACACCCATTTAGTCTATCTCTTTCGCGCACACAGATGCTTTATCGCTTTGCTCTAAATGTGTACAATTTATTCGCATTACAAATCTGGGAGGCGATGTTAATCGCGTATAAGCCGCTAGCATTTTTTATTGTTTGTTTTTATCGTTGTTGCTGCTGTTACTGTTGTTGTTGTTGTATCTGCTGTTTGAGCTGTTGCCATTCATGCATGGTCAGAGCGTAGCTACTTGCAATACCCTTTGGGGCAAGACCTGCAACGAAGCGTCGGCAAAATGAAATCAGCGTAGACAATTTTAGCTATTTTTTACCAATTAAAAAACGGATTCGCCCGACAAGGCTTTACGGCTTTGCCACCACAGAGACCAGGGCGTGCTCCCAGCTGTAAGCATTATAGTTCTTTTTGTTGTTGGCGGCACTTGGGTGAAAAATGCAATTTGCCTCGATGCACATGCACACTGCACACTGCATGCTGCATGCTGCATGCTGCATGTTGAACTAGCGGCAAATAGTTGCGTAGGTTTCAATTTATGTACGCTGCGATGGCTGTTTCTTCTACTATTTGGCAATTGCATAAATAAAGGCCAAACGGCATGTTTATTTATCATATTTAAAAAGCAATAAAATGCGTTTCATGTCGACAGCTGAGCATAAATTAGGCTTATGCATTTTTAGTTGTGCATTGCAGGCCCTAAGTGTCAAAATAATTCATTATAATTGCCCACAGATCATTTTTGTCAACGCTTTTTTTTTTTTTTTTCATTTATTTCTTCTTTTTTTTTTTTGTGCTCGTTTTTTGTCGTTCATTCCTCGTCGCGTGCGTTTCACTGACGTTTTATTTTATTTTATACATATATATAGTTGTTTTTTTTTTTTTCATATTCGTAAATTTTTTCGTCACTTGAGTTGAGTGAATAATTGCAGGCATGCCATGTTGTTTGTACTAAATTTAATTAATGACGACTTTTATTTATGTTTGCATGCCCAGCCGTCACACAGCTGGTCACATAAATATGGGCGGGCCACTCCCCGAAAAACAACAAAGACGTTACAGTGCCAACTCCTTGGAGCAAATTGACTGGGTCACCAAGTTTTATGGTGTCAAGCAATGTTAAAATTCGGATAAGATCTGAAATCTTTTCGTAATGTCCGTCTGGAAGGTATACTACTATGAAATAAAATATATAAATCTATTTTATCCGGCAATTAATCATTAAATAATTTATTAGGTTGTTTATCTTCGTAAGCACTATTAAAATGATAATTACGGGTAATGAGAACATTTTATGATATATTTTGATTTACAAAGGAATATCAGCTAATGTGCCAAAGAATAAGTTAAACAATCTTCTAAAAATTCTAAGCAAAGGCTAAGTTATAGTAGACAAATATATACAAATAGTCGTAAACGTTAAGTGATAAGCACTTGACATAAAATATACCTAAATACCCTAATAAAGTTAATAGTAAAAAGAAAAAATTTAATTTAATACGATGGGTTGCTTATAATGGTATATAATTGTATAATTTAATACATCTTTGCTCTTAACAAAAATTTTTGATCTTCAAATATAATGACAGCATTGATATAGAAGGTTTTAGATATTGATATAGAAAGTGACAGAGTAAGATTACTCGATCCCACAGTTTATTCAGCCTTTATAATTTTTGTTCTCGTATAAGTAATAAATTAATAATATACCAAAAATAAATAATCTTCATTTTGAGTCATATACCAGGAATAGAGATTAAAGAATGTTAGGAAACATGACTAAAGACTATCAATAAATCACATAAGTGTATTCCCCAAATAGATTTCGAAACTCTGACGCCATTTATTATGTTTATTAGTATTTATTTAATTGCCAAGTTATTCGCTCATAATTAAACGCCAATCCCCTGAAATTTTAATTAGTTTTACAAATATGAGTATTAGTTTAGCTGTAACGACGGCAGAGCATTCCAATTATGAGCGCTAAATGGCCTGTGCCCATAGACGGTCGACCGCAAAAAGCGATTGGGTTCAACAAATTTTGTAGCATTTGTTGTTATTGTGGGCCATAAAAATGTTAACATCATTATAAAGCCTAACACCTGCAACTGTTCGCAGTGGCAAAGCCAGCTGACCAACAACAAATACCACAACGCACAACACATTTTTTCGCATCTTGGCTTTATCGCTAATCGAACCGAGTTCGGCTAGGCACAAACAACAAGCAATAGTAACAGCAACAACAACAACAAATTCAACTAACATCTATAAAATTTTGTCGTGGCCAGCTGTTTCAGCTCACTTTGCATTCATGCCGTCAGTTTCTCACGCTCCTTATTGGATGTGGAACGCAACTGCACGCGAGCAGAGACTGCGGCATCAGCGTCGGGATCGGCGTAGACGCTTTGCGTGGCCGATAGCCGGAGGGCGCGTATTTCCACTGTGCCACCAACACAACTCTTCTGGCATGTGGCATGTGGCAGTCGCATGTGGCAATTGAGCGGCATAAGAGGACAATCACAGAGATGTGGCTGCTGCTGCTGATGCGGCAACTGTTTCGATTATGCATGATTTATAGAATGCATAATCTTAGTTCCTTCAATCAATCCCTCAATATATAGGAGTATGTATATAATATACAAATATATGTACATGTCTATTATACAACATTTAGTCTCTCGCTAAGATATTCCATCCAAATGTATAAATCGAAAATATTTTCTACTAAACGAGTATGAAAATCGAACTTAATACTTAGATTTTTAATGAGCGGAAGACAAAAGACGATAGTTTTCATTTGAAATGCTTTTGTTATTAATAAACCAAATTTTAATATATTTCATAGGAAGTTGTGAACTTGTTAAATCCATCAAAATATACAACTATAGCAAAGGATATATATATAATTATATATATTTTTAGTTTATATAATTAATCTAAAAAACATCGGCGCAGTATCGATCCACAACTCGAGTACTCATTCCGTATTATAAATTCAGTAATCTTTCAAATATTGAATGCAGATATTTATATAAACAATACAAAAAGTTTAATAGGGAAATCCTCACCATTTCATTTTAAAAAGTAATAAAATAACTCTCTAAACTATATACACGCGTTTGGCGCTTTAGTTACACATTTTATGTCACTAAAATTAATTGTGTTCAGTTTCCGTTACTTATTCATATCATATTTTTAGAAAAGTAAGTAAAAACGATTTTGCAATTCAGTTGCATTTTAATTATAGTTAGTTTTACAACAGTTTGCTTTAACGAGAGATATATTCATCTAATTCTTTAGAATACGGTTTACTCCGGTTGTTACCTGACATTTCACATCATAGCAAGAAATGCTCACTCACTTAAATAACTAAGTTACAAACAGCTGATTCAGCATATTTTCGAATACTTCATTTCACTTCAAAAATAAAATATAATGCCTGAGTTTCTGTAGTTGTCAGACTTTCGAGACTAGGAATCGCACTTTCATAGCGCTTGAATAATGATAATAAACGTACTTAATTCTGGCTTCTATATAGCGACGTATAGTTGTAAACGTAGTTAGCAATAAAACGATACTGCATCTGGAACAAATATTGCCAGCGTGCTTGAGCTACTTCAAACTCATCGCTTGAATTATCATCACTTTCTATATCCTGTTGCTCACTTTCAGTTCCAGCATGTAATTCATCTGAATCATTTTCGCCGTCCGCGGTAAGAGTACTCACAGTGTCTGATTGGCTAGCATTGCTATGCAAGTCGTCTGTCTCATTGCCAATCTCTTCATCGTTAGTTTGTTCTTCCTCTACAATTTCCTCTTCGTATTCCTCTCCGTATTCCTCATCGCCTTCATATTCCTCTTCGTATTCTTCTTCTTCCCCCTCATACGCGTTCGGATCTAAAGTAATAGAAGAACTAGTTTCATACTGAGAGGACTCGATACCCGAGGATGCGCTCTCTGTTGATTCCACAAATCCGCTCGATGAATTCGGCTCCAGGCTCTCAGCGTCCACACTATCATTGTCGCTGTTAGCATCGATATCGTGTGCCATTTCGTCTACTGGCACATTGGATGCCTCTGAATCTGAATTCACAGAGTACGCCTCCTCAGCATTTCTTTGTTCATCTGCTCCATTATCAGGCGGTATATTTACTTGTTGATTCACGTGCACGGTTAGCTTGTTCAATGTCTCTTGTGGAAAAGAATTCCTCTTTAGATTGCCTAATGGCTGTAGACAAGTTCCTTCTAGCTTGCTCAAAGGCTGTTGTGGACAACAAGTCGCTTCTAGATTGTTCAATGGCTGTTGTGGACAAGTTCTTTCTAGATTGCCTAGCGGCTGTTGTAAGCAAGAATTCGCCTTTATAATATTTATTAGCCTATTGTAGTTGTCCAAATTGGGAACATACGGCAATAGGGGTTTCTTAACCTCCTTTGACTTGCTATGATCCACATAGTAGAAGTGCCACACTGAATCATATATAAGCTCTACCCATTTGCCAGACAACCGGGAGTCCCAATTCTTTCTATTTATAAGAGCTGTTAGGTGTCTTTTAACTTCTTGAGAGTTATCAAACTTTTCCAGGAGTTGAAAAAGTTTTCGTTCCTTTGAGATTACAGTCAGCAGTTTCTAAAAAATCAAAGCAAAACTTATTAGAATTGTTCAAATTATTTTCATAAATGTTCTCACATCCACTTGAAATTTCCGAGGTCGTCGACAAACAAGTTCGTGCAGCTGGCGCAACAGTTTTATGTCATGCGATTCATCTAGCCATGCCTGAATAAGAAAGTTCGTTTTTATAAATTTGACAATATAAATGATGGCTTACTCTAAAAGCAATTACCTCTGCTTGTTCATCGTCATTTTTACGTTCATTCGCCCAATATTTTAACTTTCGTACGTTGCGCCGTTTATGGTATAGGTATATGTGGCGCCGGGCATTGCGTTGTCGTCGTTTTCGCAATTTTCGCTGAGACAATGCACGTTGCCAGATGATTTGCATGTCGCCTGCCGAATAGCAACTGGTGTAGGAAGCATCGCTATCATAATCGTTCTCTATACTATCCGAAATAATGCTGCTGGCATCATCGACAGTGTTCGATACGCCCTGTGGATGGAGGGTAGTTGAACTGCCCTCTGTAGGTGCAACTAGGCAATAGGTTTTAGTATTAATTGAGTTTGGTGCTGCACCAGGCATTTCTGTTGAAGGAGTCAGCTCTACGAGCTCTATGGTCAATTCCTGAGGTGTTGTAAGTTTCAATCGATCTTCTCCAGTTGCTTTGAGCGGGATGTTGGCATCGTCTATTGGTCGACTTTGTATTATGTTGTCTGAGACATTTTCCTTATTGCTTGCAATAATTGTTTTCTCAATAGCTTGCATATTTAGCTCCTTTTCTTGATTCAACTGAACTGATATAGTCTCACTCAAGACGCTTTTAATCTGATATTTAGCACCTTGTAAGTCAGTGTTACTTAGAGTTGGTCCTGCAGCATATGATTCTTTATCCGGAGTATTATTCACATCATTGGATATATTTGGATCTTTCGCCGCTTCACTATGGGCGTTTTGTTTTTGAGATGCATTTTCATCATTTTCGACTGTGTTAGGTGCGTTCTCTTCATCAGTGGGACTCTTCCAGCGCTGTTTGATTCGCTTTAGCTCTTTTTCCTCTTGCTCATATGCCTCCGCTTTGACATAATAGGGAAAATCGTATGAATCATAATCCCAAAAATTGAAGTCTACGTGGCTATCTTCCGGAAATTGCAGCACCGACATTCCAGTGCCGGCATCTGCAATGATCTGCTTAAAGGATTGGCACTGTTGTGGCGAGGAAATAAATGTAATGGCAATGCCCTTGGAGCCAAAGCGCCCAGCACGCCCAATGCGATGCAAGTAAGTCACCAGATCGTTGGGTGGATCCAAGTTAATAACCAAGTTCGCATGCGATGAATCAACACCTCGTGCCATTAAATCAGTGGACACTATTATGCGCATTTTGAAGTTGCGATAGGCCTGAATATTATAATAAAAATATTAAGAAATAAATGGCTTATTTAAATATTGAATATTTATAATTGGTATACCTGGAATGTCTGCAACCGTTCACTCTGCTTCATAGCTCCAGACATAAGTTCACATTCGATGCCATCCCGTTGCAAATAGTTGCGAAAGGAATCGGCGCGACTTTGCGAGCTGGCGAAAAGTATAACCTGGTCATAGGCCACTTGGGTAATTATCTTCTGCACCGCTTTCAGCTTAGACATCATATCCTGCATGCTGTTCACTTGTGCTGGCAATTCATAGACAAATTGCCGAACGCCCACTAGTATGGTGGCTCGCTCGCTGTTAGAGACCAGCACTGGCTTGTGCATCAACTTGGCAAGACGCTCGTCTAGCGCATTCGGATAGGTAGCGCTACAGGCAATTATTTGAATCCCGGGCTGCAGCGATGCAACGAGCGCTTGCACATCCTTCTGCAATGAATCAGTGCAATACAATTGGTCTGCCTCATCCAGCACGAGCAGCTTGACTGCCGACGTATTGAATACGTTGTTCTGAATGAGATGAAGCAGACGACCTGGTGTGCCCACTATAATGCGCCCTCGAGCCATGCGCATGCGATCTCGCTTCACATCTGTGCCACCAATGAAACTAACACACAGGTAAGCGTTTCTGTTGTGCAATTTGTTCGCCAAGCCGTTAACAGTGTCCTCCACCTGTATGGCCAGTTCACGAGTTGGCACAATAATCAAAGTCTGCGGACTGGCCACCGACTTATCTATCTTTTGTAATGCGGCAAGCACATAAATCAAAGTTTTTCCTGTTCCACTTTTGGATTGCACCAACAGATCTAAAAAGAACATTGATTGTCATATACATTATAAACTATTAAATTGAAGTATTACCCATTCCAGCTATCGCCATGGGAATCGCCGCTGCCTGAATTTTAGTTGGCGTCAAAAATTTGTGGCCCTGCAGGCATTTTGAAAGACTGCGATTCAAATTCAGTTGCTCGAAAGAAAATGAACCGGCGGCCACATCACTTGTACGTTGCTCACTATTTTCCAAATCATGCGCCAGTGCGCTCTCCATTTTTGTGCTCGTTACCGCTAATATCTTGCAACATAAACAAAAATGCTGGGGCAAAAACGAAATTCACGCTGCCAAAAAGCCGCCAAGCAACACACACTTAACATATGGTGTTAATCGACCAGCCACCACAATGCAGGGACAGTTTTAACGCGATAACGATAGCTGAACCAGTGCTGGGTAACTTCTTCAGTGATTCTACAGCTGGCTGCTAAAAATAATAAGACGATTAAAATTGTATTATTTTATACTTTTCAACAGTTCCTATTAAAAATTGGTTTAATAATTTTTTGACATTGTAATACACGATGTACATCGATATCGTTCATTCAATCCAACTGGAGTATACTTTCATGTATTAGTCGACTGCCGAAGACCCTGCATCCAAATGTCGTCACAATTGAGTGTTTTAAAAATTTGAATACCTACAATATTCAAATATAAATATGGTATATATAAGCTTATGGATATGCTTAAAGAATATGCTTAAAGAAATCTAATATATTTACATACTTGTGCATGTGCATTGTGTAAATGTATTGAGGAGAGTTCGCAAGACATTCAAAGTGTGACATTTAAATTTATCGATAAGGACGATAAGAGTTAAATCAGATGGTCAAACATGGAAAGCCGCAAAATAACGGCTTTTATAATAACTGGACCGCCAGGTAAACGCAGAATGTTTGAATGTAAATACGACTAATATTCTAAATTTGTGTCTGTAGGTGTCGGCAAAACAACATTAGTTCGCAAAATATGCAGTAAATTGAGCGAATATTGCAAATTAGCAGGATTCTACACAGAAGAGGTGCGGGCGAGTGGCCAGCGCATTGGTTTCGATGTGGTTTCCTTAAATGGTACTCGTGGTATCCTGGCACGTGAGAAACCAGCGGACAACATACGTCGGCCCAAGGTAGGTAAATATGCTGTTTATGTGGCAGACTTGGAGACTGTGGCATTGCCACTCCTAGAATCTGCATTACCCTGGACTTCGCTTTCGTCTTCGGCCTCTCAGCAGCAGCTGATCGTAATTGATGAGATTGGCAAAATGGAACTGTTAAGCAAACGCTTCGAGAGTGCCGTTAATAAACTACGTAATCAGAACCAGCCCATGCTAGCCACCATACCTTCTCACACCCGTCAGCCTATTCCGATTGTCGAAGGTATTAGAAATGCGCCCGACTCGATCGTCTTTCATGTTACCAAAAGCAACCGCGATAGCATGGTCAACGAAATTACAGAGTATATGGTTAAGACGCTTTTCAACGGAAAGTAAACTTTTGGCCTTTCACATGCACATGCGGCACAGGAGGCGGAAACGAAGTTAATCATTAGCTTTCTGATTTGAAATCTGACAGTCAGAACTAAAAATTTTTTTAAATCTTGTCGGAAACATTTATTAAAATGTTGTCAAAATTTGCATATGTTTGTTTATTTTTGGCTTTAACCCTATTGCACATCTGTGCCCATTTGAAGCCCACCATCGAGGCCCATGCGAGCATCAAGACAATCAATTTACGGCTCACGCGTAAACTGAATCTATTTGTGGGCTATGAGTACCATCACTCAATGCTTTGGCAAGCAGTCATGAATTCCTTGCTGTTTGTGTTTGGGGTCTGGCTTTGTCAACGTGAGGTCGATAGGAAGAGGGGTCGCACTATTGAGCAGGAGCTTAAGCTCAATGGTCACTCTAAGATCTCTGCCGCAACCGAGGTGAAGTTGAATTGGTTGCGCACCCGAGGGAAGCGCGCCTCCAGTTGGCAGCTTTTCCCGAAACGTATGTTCGCCTGGTTCAGTATGCCTTGGCTGTCGACCTTCCTGTTAAATGAGTTTTGCAACTATGCCCAACTTAATCTGATCATGAAGCACTTTTGCACCTCGACGCCGGAAGTGCTTCTACTCCATGTCCGTGTCCAGCTGCTCTACCTGCAACAATTACTGTCTAGCATTATTGGACCCTATTTGCTGCAATTCACTGGAGCCTTCGTGTCTCTTACTGCGTCCCACGCGAACTACATTAACTACGAGACTAATCTATTTGTCAAAGAGGATTAAATGGGGCCCGCAAATTCAAATCTTTTGCAAATCGAAATTCTATGTACATTTCGGCTCATTCTGTTCACATAAATTTACGTAATAAATACGCATCTTGAACGCAAACAAATTTTAAAGTATTCTTCCAGGTTTTATGAACTTTATTCTTTACCCTATGCTGGCGGGCAGCTACTGCTGGCAAAAGTTTTCGGTCACTAGGGAACTGTCTACTTTTTCTTTCATACCGCAAAAAACTTTCCCAACGTTTTGACAATTATTTTAACATAAGCCGAAGGCAGCTGTCTTAACTTGAACAATTCATCTTCATCAGCAACAAAGAGCTCTTCATGTTTATGGACAAGAAATGATGATTTGTTAATGACATAGTCCATAATTTCTTTGTAATTCCAGAAATATAGAGAAATTTGAATTTCAAAATGTCTGCAATTCATTATTCCACATTATTTTTCAGACATAGCAACCTTGATAAATGTGTTAGTTCAATGTCACTTCTGTATTCAGATGAAATGTTTGAAAACATTTCGCACAAAAATTCATAAAAACTTAAACAATTATAAACTCTAGGCTGTTGCTGTGATAACACTCTTCCGCTTTTCCGTAAAGAATTCGGTTACGGATACGTTGAAGAATCACGCAACCAGTTACAAAGGAATACGAACAAAGATACCGTTGCTTTACATTCAAAGCGCACACTGGAAGGAGTTATTCGCTTTATTGCTTAACGTTTTGGGTGGCTGGTGAGTCTGAACTTCCAAGAATTGTTTTCGCTATATAGCTAGGTACCAATTATCGCTATTGATATAGTCATCCATAGTGTATTCAAGGTCTGTCATCAGGGGCTAACGCTACAGCAGGAACTCGAGGAAGTAAGGGGAACATCTGTTGAATAGCTACATATAGTTTATCTATATTTTTCGGTCTTAGCCGCGAAATTTAACTCATTTAATAATTTTATAACGTTGACCAAAAAGTCACTCCAGAATAGTTTATATAACACAATAGATAGAATTATTATAGGATTTAAATGAATTTATCTTAGTGTATACTGTAGTATTTGTGGTGCTAGCATAGCTATTAGATGACAAACTAATACGTTACGTTACTTTTAGCCTGTTTCCTATATGCCTAAGGGGTGCATGGCAATAGGAAAACTTTAAATTCCATGGATTAATCAATAGTTTTTATGAATATATTCATTTTAAAGGAATAACTTTGACCGTGAACAAGTATTTTCTAGTCGTGTACGTCCGACGGGCTTGACATTTTTATCTGAACTGTACAGTACTGGTAAATATTTAATCAAGTTAGACTTCCTAATTAGGACTTCGGATGGAAATTTGTAGAATAGATGAATAGTCATGCTAAGTGAAAGTAATAGTTAATTAGGTAATCGGTAATAAATAGAATTTCACTTGTTACTATATATTAGTCATAAAATGACATATGTATCGATAGCTCTATAAATGTTAGTTATTTTTATACCCTGAACCCATTTTCAATGGGAAATCAGGGTATAATGGTTTTGTTAAATGTATGTAACAGGCAGAGGGAGGCGTGGCAGACCCCATAAAGTATATATATTCTTGATCAGGGCGACGAGCTGAGTCGATTTAGCTCTGTCCGTCTGTCCGTATGCTTGAACGCATCGATATCAGAAGATATAAGAGCTAAAGACTAGGTTGTTTTCCTAGGTCCGTGTATATCGAGTTTTGTTTTAAATATCGATAACTTGCTCTGTTATTTTGTTATCTATTAAAAACATTATCGAAAACCAGTAATAAATGTATATCTCCTACATCTTTGAAGCTAGAGTCTCAAATTTTTTATGTATACCTATATGCATTTTATACAACTTTGGTTTTTGTCAAAATTTATCCCCCACCTCTAATTTACCCCCTCACCCTCATAGTTGTAAAAGGCGTATTTCAAATACTAGAGACTTTTGCGTTGGCAAGTACATGCATATCCATATTATATTCATAATCTGAAGTTTCATGAAGATAGTATGTTCACAAAAAAAGTTATTAAACAATTAAGTTCCCATAGTAAGCCAACACTGCAGCCAATACATGTTTATGCGTGCGTATGTATGTCTGTGTGTGTGCGTGTATGTGTGAATATGCGAATAATTATTGAAATATCAGTTGCTCGAAGGGTTCAGAGGATCTCGTAGTCGGGCAGTCTCGACTAGAGCTTTCTTACTTGTTATATTTGATATATGTCGTTTGTCTTAGTAAGCTTTGCATACTTTGAACATCATCTATACATTTATTAAATCAGCTTTTCATTCACTTTTCAGTAGTACACAAAGTTGGATTGTTTGTTCTGTATGTTCGAGTAGTCATTCGTTTGTTTTTTTACGTGTAAATCAGTGCTCCAGTAAATTTATAATTTTACAGTTTCGATTTTTTTTTTTTCACAAAAAAATTTTCCATCTTGGAATATTGAAGTCTCAGATAAAATAATTTTTGTGAACGCGAAAAGAAAACAGAAATAACATACATAACGCAAACAAAAAAGAAAAAAAAAGGAAAAAACAAAACAAAAACAAAACAAACATTATATTGTATAAAATAAACCGATGCTTTCATTTCGTGGACAACTTAGAATGCTGTGCGCTCCAACAATGGCTAGAATGCTAAAACACATACTGCCAAGACGCCTAAATCGCATCGGATTCTTCCGTTACGCATCCTGCGAGGCTAATAAGCAAGGCGGAAAGGGCATTGTATTGGGACTGTATGAGAAGGAGAGCGGTAAAGGACCAAGACTGACGCCCTCGGGCGAGAAGTTTGATGATCGCGTTCAGGGAAAGTTGTCAGAGCTGATATGCGAAACAAAGATTACAGGACGACTGGGACGTGGTAAGGTGTTCAACAATGTAGACGCTGACTTCCGATCCATTTGCATTGTGGGTCTGGGCCTCGAGGGCATAGCCTTCAATGAGCTGGAGATGCTGGACGAAGGAATGGAAAATGTTCGCGTCGCCGCTGGCATCGGGGCCCATTCATTGCAGACAATGAAGTGCATTGAGGTGCACGTCGACAACATGGACTACCCCGAGCAGGCGGCCGAAGGTGCCGCCCTATCAATATGGCGGTACGACGAGAACCTATCGAAGAAATATCGGCAAATTGTGCCCAAGCTGGAGCTGCACGGCTCGCCTGATATGGACGCATGGACTCGTGGTTTGTTCAAGGCAGAGGCGCAGAATCTGGCTAGACGATTGTCGGATGCCCCGGCCAACTGCATGACGCCCACCATCTTTGCACAGGCCGCTGTGGATGCACTTTGTCCTTGCGGCATCACCGTCGAAGTTCGTACCATGGAGTGGATTGAGCAGCAGCGTCTCAACTCTTTCCTCATGATAGCCAAGGGCTCATGTGAGCCGCCTGTTCTGCTCGAGATTGCCTATTGTGGTACAGCACCAGAGGACAAGCCTATCCTTCTGGTGGGCCAAGGCATCACATTTAATTCAGGCGGCATCAATCTTCGCGATTGCGATGGCATGGACGAGTTCCGCGGTGATCTGCAAGGTGCTGCTGTCATCCTGGCGTCAATGCGCGCGGCCGCTGCGCTGTCGCTGCCAATCAACATAACCGCCATCCTGCCTCTGTGCGAGAACCTTCCGTCCGGCATGTCGTGCAAGCCGGGCGATGTCGTCACCCTGCTCAATGCCAAATCAATGGCCGTACGGAATGTGAGCCGGACTGGCGTCGTTGTCATAGCCGATCCCATGTTGTATGGCCAACTAACATACAAGCCAAGACTTGTCGTGGATGTCGGCTCCATGTGTTCAGGAATTAAGAAAGCTGTTGGCGGCGGGGCCACTGGTATTTGGTCGAACTCTCACTATATTTGGAAGCAGTTCCAAAGAGCCGGCTCTCTAACTGGCGATCGACTGTGGCGTTTTCCCCTGTGGAGATTCTACAAAAATCGCGTGGCTGATTGTCTGAGTTACGACTTGATGAATGACGGCTGTGGCGAGGCGTCATCCTGTTTGGCGGCTGCCGTTCTGCATGAGCTGGTACCTTGCAGTGATTGGGCGCATCTGGACACATTTGGAACCGGACTACTGAGCAAGTACGGCCTCATTCCCTATTTGGCCGCCGGACGCATGACTGGGCGACCGACTCGTACACTAGTCCAGTTTCTTTACCAAATGGCTTGCCCCGAGCAAGCCAAGTAGTTGGGTCTCCCTATGTATATGCTATTTTCGACTAGGATTGCAGCCTATCCAGGACCTATTGGGAACAGAATTCCCAACAAATCATTGGGCTGTAAAGACAGTAAACTATTTATTTTTTCGATTATGTATCTGTAAGCGATTGAAAAATTTGAAACGCTTGAACAGGAATTTACTACCTTCGTGATAGTGATGCTCCAGAACAAAGGTTATTTTTAGGATTTCAGATAGTTTTAATGTTAGCCCCACCACGATTTTACCTCAGATACTCTTGTACACCGCGTACTGATTTTGGCACACGACCAGAGCTTACAAATTGTATGTGAGCAAAATTGATTTGTCACCAAAAATTATATTAATTTAACAGTCAAATGAAATTAAATGTTAAAAGTATGTTTCTCTAAACAAACTCGCTTTTCACTCCTAAATCGAAGCCAATAATTGCGCAAATAGGTAAGCTGCAGCTGTCATAAATCGCACTTGATGCCAGGATGGAGCAGATTTTGATGTCGTCTGCAAATTTGTGTATATCAATAACGCCAATTCCCGTAAGTGCTTGGCAAAGTTTATAGCACGTCATCGAAACGTATGAAAGGAAATCCGGTCACGTAGCCCTGTGAAGTTGACAGCCAGCAGTAAATTGAAAGATTATGCAGATGATATTTTGGCAGGGGCCACGCGGTCACTAGTTTGATAGAACGTTTAAAATCAGAGAATCTATAAAAAAAATGTTCATTTATCATTTACAAAATGGTATCATTTATTGTAATATTTTTTCAGCTAAGGACAAAGGTATTTAGCACATCAGATAATGACAGAGCTCTATAAAAAGAACAAAATTAAAAAAAAAAAAAAAAAAAAAAAAATGAATTGAGAATCTATATATTCATTAAATATAAAATTTAAATGGTATGCAATATTTTTTATGCTTTATATATTTGCTTATTGCAATGCAAATGGGTCTTCAGCTATGTATATTTTATTTATTATGTATATTGATTGGATTATTGCAGTGAAATATGTTTATTATTCGTGTGTTCATTTGTAGCTCCTTCGAAATACATTATATTCCATTCATACACAACGTTAGGCTGTCTATGGTCTTACCATGGTTTTGTTTTGGCTCTTGGCCCTAAGAACAGGCCACGAGACGAGCCCCCAGGGAGCCAAGTCATCGCATTCGATTGCCTCCCTAACAAATAAGAGCAGCAGCTTATGAGGCTGATTACTTTTTGGATGCCCTTTCACTCAGGTCTACCGCTAATGCTGCTTGGGAATGAGTTTGTTATTTAATGGGGTCCATCTCTGAGTTAAATCATTTCTTGCACTTAATCAATAGACCTCTTGTATACCATTTAAATTGGTATATCAACAATTTCTTTAGTGTGCACTCATCTCTCTCCATGTTTTTCTCTCTCTTTTCCACTCTGTCCACTTACTTTTGGCATTTTATTCATAATTATTTTTTTAATCCATTCAGCTTATTTTTAAGGGTTTACGCGCGCCACACTCAAGCCAACCCAATTTAAATTTCGGTCTAGTCTGTCGCCAGTCCGCGTCATCGTGCTCGTCCTTGCGCGAGTGGCGCAGCGATGCGGGCAGTGAAACTTATTTCGTTGCCTGTCAAGCTTTTAATGATAAAGTGTTCCCTTTTAATCCTGCCTGCCTGCCTGCCTGCCTGCCTGGCTGCATGGCTGCCTGGCTGCGAAACGGGCCAACACTCTGTCATTTGCAAGCTGGCAAATGAACAGGGAGCGGGTCTAACAGGTCGTAAAAGGTGTTTTGGGGCAAAGCTGAGTCTCACCATTTCTGACAACGTTTTCTAGTTGGCGACACGCGCGACACACCAGTTGCCGGCTTAAAACTATTAAAAGCGTGTGCCAAGTGGCTGCTGCCATCAGCCTTTTCGCAATGCCCACAAAAATATTTGAGCGCTGCCTCAGCGGTGGCCCAAATTCCGTTCCTCTGTTTCGCATTTCGCTGGGAGTATCGAGTGGCGTTTGTGCTTTATCGACGGCTCGATATGAACTGCATTTCCTTTCACTCAGTCTCAATTGTTATTTATGACAGTCGTGTGCAGCAAATGGCAATGCATGCGTTGCGTTACGCCACACGTACGTCAGGCCAGTTGGACTCTCAATAAATAACCCAGCATTCGCCCACGTGGCCCAAACCATCCCGGAGTGAAGTGCTGTGGCACTGCAATGCAATTTTGTTGCTCACGTGACACTGGCCAAGGTTTGGCTGCAACTGCGGCTACGAGTTTCCTGCCCTCTTAACTTTGAATGGCACTGACAAATTGTTACGACCTTGGGTAAGTATGTAAGTATGTATATCATTGATAAGAGAATCGAATTTGTGCTTGTATAATAAGTTATCTACAGGCCGTAAGCGGAAGGTCGCATACCCTTGTAGAAATATGACAACATAGACAATTATATTTATTAGACGTTACATTTAATATAAAATTGGAACTAACATGCAATCAAACATAAGCTTAAAGTTTAAAGTTGAAGCTAATCGATATGCCTGTCTTCAGGCAGTCTAGAGTCTATAGTTAGTAAAATTAACATAAATTTAAAACTTACTTAAACTTTAGTATTTTTTTAAATATTTATGCTTTAACAGTATTTATGTATTTTTTAATAATATTTATTCAGTGACCTTGCTTCAATACATATCAATTTTACACATTATTACACATATTATCCACTTAAATAAATATTTCATAAATATTAAAATGATGTAAATATCTGTTTAATAATTGAGAACGCAAAGAAGACATATTTGACTACAGAATGAGGTAAAAATATGTACATATTATATATATGTATATCGAGCTAGACCAATTTAGCTTAGTCCCGCCTTTCGTTGGCTTTGCAGCTTAAAGGATTAAGTAACTTCGTGCCTGAACAGTGTTTCATTACTACTCTATAATCCATATGACATTTGACCGCTAACTGTGCATAGAAGATTCGATTGGAGTGGCACACAAACCCATTATCTATATATCTCCTCGTTCCGCGCACATTACAGCTCAATTTGCAGCATAAAATAATTTAAAGGGCACATTAAGAGCACATGTTTGACAGGCTCTCACGAGTGCTGCAGCTGGCCCATAAATGTTATGGTTGGTTTCCTGCGCTGCAAGCGACGACGCATGTAGTCAGATTTTCCGGGCAGCCATCTATGTATGTCCACTAAACACTAAACACGACCACAAAATGGTCGAGCGACTGGAGTCGCTTTTAATTAATGGCCCGGCATATTCATGGCGCATAAATTTACGCTCCAAAATTCAAGCAGAACTCAACCCTAATCAGGCTTTCAGTAAATGGATGGAAAAGGCCGCTAAATAATAACGTTTTCCTTTTGCTTCTGCGAGCGAATTCGTAAATGAAAGCGCGAGTCTAAAAAAGGAAGCACTTATTTTCCTCCAGCAGCGGAGCCAATAAATTAATTTAGAAATTTTATTTATGTGAAAAGGAAAGGACTTTGGATGTTTAATAATTTGTGTCTGGCTGATGATAAATGTTGGGCATTAACAGAGCTTAACATTTCAATATTAACAAAAATCAATTAAGCTCTCATATAAAGAGCAAGCTTATGAAGTTATTGACGTTAATACTAATTAATTAACTGTTGTGTGAAAGCTTCAAGCAGGTTTCATAATAGTTTATCATCAAAATAAATCATTCATAGTGTATGACAAGCAGAGTGTAATTGTGGTTATGTAAAGCATAAAGGTTTTTTTTTTCTATGGCCTGTAGCTAATTTTGTTGCTTGTTAAGTAAGGTAAAGGTGCAATTTGTGTAACATTTTGTGTGACTCATATAATTTTATGCTGCCCTAAAACGCAGGTCTAGAGGGTCTATTCATTTCCCTATATGTAGGCAGTCAAATTTTTTAGATGATTTTCAGTCTGTTTTCCTTATAATAATAATTCCCCCTAAAAGATGACCATATAATCAAGGCATCTACATATCAGATGCATATCTCTATGCATAAAGTATTAAGGCGGCTGTGTAGTGCCCGGACTTACACTTATCTCTCTCTCCAGGGTATCCATGTAGCAAGAAATTAAGCAACACCAAGGAAAACATTTGGATTTCCAAAATCTCTGTGGTTTCCCAATCCCAACATGCATAAAAAAATATTATAATCTCAAACATACCCACACATCCACCCACGCCAACATTTCTAACATGAGCTAAGTGAAGATTCAGTTAACAATTTCATTAAAATTTAAAGCAGAGATGAGAAGCGAATGGCAGATAAAAATAAATGGAGTACACATGTCACGCTCGTTTGTTGCTGTAGCTGTTGATGTTGATGTTGCTGTTGTTGCTTTACATGTGCGGCTTGTTTTACATACTTGTATAACGGGCAGCCAAAAGTGCGTGGCAAGCAACAGGATATGGGCCTTGATTGGCTAGGCAGATACCCTTGATCAAACATTGACGGCAGTTAAGTATAATTGGTTAGAGCAGTCTAAATATGGTCTATATTAACTAATCTGTCTGTAATGCAGCTATTTTATTATGAAGAGGCAATTGTTTCTTCTATGTGTACGACTCCAAGACAACATTGGCCATTATCCAAATAAGAATGCGCCGAGTTAGTCCTTCAGATAGCGCTGTCTGCAAGTAACAGTCACAAGGATGGAGCAACTCGAATGCCGAGTGCAGCAACTGAGTGCCAACGCTTGACACATAGCCGTCGCATCAAGGCCACCAATGGCAACCAAGCGTCCACGTGTCGCCTTGCCACACCTGCTTCCTGCTGTCAAAATGCCCGCCCATTTTGTTGACTTGCCTTTTTTTTTTTGCTACGAGATTTTTTTGCCGCGCACAATTGGGAATTTATATAAAAAAAGTACGGAATCTGCGTTTTCCGGCGGAAAAAACTTGGCTACTGACTGCTGACTGTTCGCTTGAAAGCGGAGCAAAGGGTGTCGGAAACGCGGCAACTTGATTCAACTCGAAGACGGCAATGGAAAACAGAAATGCGGCAGCCAAAAGCCAATGCAACAACACCGGCAACAACAATGCGAGCGTAATCAAAGCACAATGCAAAGCTTGTTAAATGCAGCAGCGCCCGACTACTCGGATACCCGGATACCCGAATACCAGATGGCCAAAAGGAGCCGGAGCCGGTGTCGGAGCCGGAGCTAGAAAGTCGCCAAGGCAACAATAAAATATTTCTATGCAGCAAATTGAAGCTTAAAGCGCGCTGATGTGGCGCTTGTGGCAAGTGAGTTGCTCACAGACAGCCAGCGCCGTACACAAACACAAACATAACTAACACATACTTACTTATTTATGTACATATTTATACGTACTTATATAAATTTAATATATATGTATATATGTTTACCGTTTGGTTTACTTAAACTCAAGTTCCGT